ATATTACACTATGTGACGTTATATGACGTCATATGACTGTAATATGTAATATAAAAATCTATATTACATGTAATTTACAACACTAGTTTTATTTATCAGTTTTTATCATTATTTGCAGAAATTGGTATAAAAGTATTGTAAATCATATATTTCTTCATAAAGTCATTATATAAAGTGTTTTAAACTAAACGATTTATAAATGATAACTAATAGTGTTTCGTATATTTAGTGTATTATGAATAATGAGTGAATTATTGAAAAAGTTTGCAATCTGTGATAAAATCCCGCTAAATATTAGGGAAAATATTACAAAACTATATGTTTTCAACGATTGTATTATCAATAAATTCAATGTATTGTTTGTTACAAACAATGATACGGTCTATGGTTTTGGTAATAATAGCAATGGATGTCTGGGTTTTGGTCACAACACTCCTATACCATTACCAGAAATAATACCACAATTATGTCATCAAAACATTCAATACTTTGTCAATGGATGTGATTTTGTGTTAGCTGTGAATAACACCAATAATATCTATTGTTGGGGTAATACTGAAAATGAGAATTCAGTACCAAATTTGATATCATATTTTAATGATATAAATATTGTGCAAATCAGTTGTGGTTCAAGACATGCATTGGCCCTCACGAGTGATGGCCGGGTGTATGCCTGGGGTGACAATTATTACGGACAAATTGGTTGCGGAACCAAAAGTGAAGATATTTATAAATATTTTTATGAAGAGGAATATGAAGAGGAGTCTGAAGAGGAATATGGGAATAGTTATGAATTCATTCGTACACCAGTTTTGTTACATTTTCCTGAAAATTATAAAATAAAATTCATTTATTGTTGTTATTACTCGTCATTTGCCATCACATCCGACGGACATGTCTTCAGTTGGGGTCAGAATAGTGTCCATCAATTGGGACTCAATATGAGTAATGATAAAGTATTGGAACCCCTCTTGATATCAACCATAAGTGATGTGAAAACAGTCAGTTGTAGTAATTATGGCACATATTTTCACACAACAAATGGTTTATATTTTTGCGGAGAATATTATGAAAATAATAACAAAATGATAGCCAAAACTCCGAAAATATTTTCGAAAATTTTCAATCAATTACAACAAATTAATTCATGGTTTCCATTAAATATAAATGAATTTATTGTTGTTTTACTAAACGATAAAATTTATAAAATATCAAAAGATCACAAAATACATGAAACAAATTATAATAATTTCATCGCGTTTTACGCCAAAGAATACCAAATCACTTATAAAACAATTGATATGTCAATCGATGACAACAAGAAATTCAATGAAACGTTACAACAGATTATTATTCATAACATTAAAGCATTGGAAACAAGTGGTGGTAATTGTAAACCATAGTTAACTTTATTGATTAAAATTATATAAACTATTATGATATATATGACAGGTCAGAGCGTTAACACCGATGAGTTTGGCAAACCCGAGCTCATAGGGAGGGGTGGGTTCGGCGCCGTGTATAAAGTGAAACATAACTCAAGCGATGAGTTGTATGCCATTAAAACGGTCACTTTTCCCGGTAAGTCAACTATTTTACTAATTGTTTAGCTGTAAAAAGTTCTCATACATTATTAGTAGATCATTTTACATTTGAATAATTTATAGCCTCGAGTGATGCACACAAACAGCGAGTACTAAATGAGGTAAAAAGTTTGGAAAACGTGCGCTCAAAATATGTGGTCCAGTATTACACCTCTTGGATAGACAACAATCGGCTGTACATTCAGATGGAGTATTGCCCGCAAAGTTTGCGCAAACTATTGGCCGACAAAGCGCTGGCTTTTGGCAGACAATCGCCGGACGAACCCATGAATGCGTTCGAGTATTTCATTTCATGTGAAATATTCAAAGAGCTCTTAGAGAGTGTTCAATATCTTCACGAATTGAATCCACGGGTTATTCATCGGGATCTCAAACCGGACAACGTTTTGCTTACCAATACATTAAGCGGTAATAACAACAATAGCCGGCGATTCATAACATTGGGTGACTTTGGTTTGGCCACTGTTCACGACCCGAGCCGACACACTGACAGCCGGTACCAGCACTCAGCTGTTGGCACTCGTGGTTATATAGCGCCCGAAGTGTTTAAAGGCAGATATAACCACAAATCAGACATTTATAGTCTCAGTATAATAGGACAGGAGTTGTTTGACATTGATTTGCAGGCGTAAGTGTACAACAAATTTATTTTATAACATATTTAGTGTATTTTTATTGTAAGTTTTATTGTATTTTATTTATAGCTCGAAATCGTTTGAAGCAAATGAATCGCTATTCAAGTCATGTATGTCTCAAACGCTGGAGAAAATGATGTCATCTCCGCGATGGACACAAAGGCCTGAGTGTCGGGAAGTGTTGGCCAAACATAACGAGTGGTCTATCGATAAGACTGTTGTCACGAATCATAAAGATTTCAATTCAATTTTAAATACAATTAAATCTAACGTTAATTTAGTTTTCTATCAGATTTTATTTTGTAAAACACAATAACATTATTTTAAATTATAATACTTTTGTCTTTTATTTTGACACTTTATTTGAACAATTAATTAAATCTATCCTAAAGATCAAAATTAATACGGATTTTAATAAAATAAAATGTTCTTATTTTTAAAAAACTGATTCCTATTATTTTTCCTTATTTATCAAGTTACAAAATATTTAATTTAATTAATTAAATGCAACATAATTTATAAATTATAATACATTCACGTAACAAATGTAAAACATATTAAAAATGTAACATCAAATGAAAGCAAACATAAAATTGTATAAAATTTAAATTGTATGTTAAGTGATTGTATAGAAATCACTTGCTTTTTCAGGTGAAAGGCTTATACTGTATCTCGGACAGAGAATGTGACCATCATCAGTGCTTGTACACTTGTACTTGTGTATTAACTAGGGTTGTTACTTTACAGGTAATATTCAATTCAATCTTACATTACCAGTAATATTCGGTAATTTACGGTAATATTCGGTAATATTCGGTAAAATTGGTAATTTTCCACAAATTAATTAAATTAATGTTCAGTTCTTTATGGAATATTAATTATATACGTAATTACGATAGTTATCACTTGTAATATAATTTAAATCTACAGAATTTCTATCACAATTACAATTAAGTTCGGAATTTTTATAGTTTTTCAAACAGAAATATTAAATAAAAACAATTTTGCAAGTTATTTATTATTAATAAAGTCATTATTGTCTCTCATATATCAATTTTAATTATAAATCTAGTAATAATTAATTTTCAAAATTAAAGTTTTTTTTAAAAATTATTCAATTATTAGCATTTTGGACATGATTAATATCAAAAGTACTTTATATTTTGACAAGTCACGTGTTTGAATGTTGTAATTTACATGTAAGATTCAGAAAACGTGGTAATTTACAAGTAAATTACCGTAAATTACCACGGTAAAATGGTAATTTACCGAGTGTCACAACCCTAGTATTAACTGTTGGCATTGTTTTATACCAGCAATATTAAAATTTTAAGCAAATATGTACTGTATTTTTCACCAGTATAAATTTTCAACATATTCAATACTATTGAATCAATAGTGCACAGTATTTTGTGATAGAGGTTTGTGATTGCTTTTGGGTTTAAAACTCGACCCAATGTTAATAATGCGACCCAAATGTTAATCCCGTGATCACAACCTATGTGTGCACAACAAGTACTAAAACCCCAAATGATATCAACAATAAGTGATGTGATACCTGTCTGTTGTTCACAATTGGGTACATATTTTCACATAAAATAACAGTAATGTAATGATTGAAAGAATTCCGATACTAATAGTTAACTATTGTTTACAAAAAATTAATTTCGGTATTAATACTAATAATAATGAATTCATTTGTGTTTTGCAGAACAGGAAAGTATATAAAATACTAAATGACCGCAAAGTATACGAAACAATATAACTAACAAAACAATTGGTTTGCGGAAAATGAATAAATTAAAGAGACTATTGTTTTCAAACAATATCGAAATGAAAAGCAATAATACAGTGATTGTTATGTCATATGAAGAGTACAGCGAAATATTACAGCCGATGACCAATAATATTACACCAATGGATCTAAATAATGGTAATTAAAACTTATAAATCATGGTGATCCGATCTTACGACAAACTTATACTGTATTAATTTCAGGCCAGAGTCAAGTATCTCAAAACAACTCTTACCGTAACAACTTTGATGAACTCGGTGATCCGATAGGGAGGGGTGGGTTCGGCACTGTGTTCAAAGTGAGACATAAATGGGATGGTAATGTGTACGCGGTCAAAAAGGTCACATTTCCCGGTAAGAGTGCTTATTCAATTAAACATTTAACTAAAATAACTGAATTTCATTATAATAACCAACTCTTTATTATTAATAATAGTCAACGGAAGTGATGGACGTCAACAGCGAGTGCTAAAAGAGGCACAAAGTTTAGCAAAACTGAGCCCACAATATGTGGTACGATATCACTACTCATGGCTCGAAGACAATGTGCTATACATTCAGATGGAGTATTGCCCGCAAAGTCTGCGCAAACTATTGGCCGACAAAGCGCTGGCATTTGGCAGACAATCGGTAAAACCGATGAAACCATTCGAGTATTACATATCGTGTATAATATTCAAAGAACTCTTAGAATGTGTTAAATATCTACACAAATTGGATCCACAGGTCATTCATCGGGATCTCAAACCCGAAAATATATTAATTAGCCAAAACCTTAGGTCCAATCGATGCGTAAAATTGTGTGACTTTGGTTTGGCCACTGAACACAACCCGAACCGACTCTCTGCCAGCCATACGTTAGGTGTGGGAACTTTTCCATATATGGCGCCCGAAGTATTTGACGACAAATATAATCCCAAATCAGACATATATAGTCTCGGTATAATCGGGAAGGAGTTGTTTGGCATTGATTTCAATTTGTAAGTAGTTTTAAACAGTTTTATACGAAATAATTATTACATTTTTAAATTTTGTTATATTTATAGCCCTAAATCGTTTGAATCAAATGATCCGTTACTCAAATCACGCATACTATGTATGTCTCAAACGCTGGTAAAAATGATGGCACAAAAGAGACTGCGGCCTCAGAGTTGGGATGTGTTGGCCATACATAACGAGTGGGCCATCGATAAGACTGTTGTCACGACTCATAAAGATTTTAATGCAGTGTTAAATACACTTAAATCTAATGTTAATCCAGTTTTCTATGAGATTTTGTTTTGGAAAACACTATAACATTATTTGAAATTATGATTAGTTTTGACTTTTGTTTAAACATTTTTGAAACAATAAGTAAAGTATTTATTGTAATTAATTATTATTTATTGGAAAAATAATAATAGTATGTATTAACATTTATAAATATTTTATTTAACTATAAAAATTTGTTTATTATTTATCTATTTTTACCACATTATAAAATGTTTGTTTTAATTAAGTAAAACTGAATTCAATTTAATAAACAAACTTATTGTAATATACAGTCGATTTCATATTCCCTTGCGCGTGTTATTTAATGTTTACGAGTAAACTAGGTTATATTTTAAAAATCTAATTCGGTACGATTGTGGGCATTTATGGGAGGCAAAAGTTGGCTATTTTAAATTTTTTGATTAACTTCTCAATTTTTGTTGAATGATGAATAATTGTTGCTCAAAAACTATTGGGTCGATTTTTGCGTTCGATATCTCAAAATGTACATAATGTAAATTGAGTCGATACCTGTATCAGGATTTTTTTAAATAATTGATGTAATATCACAAATAGAGCGCTAAAGTACCCAAAATTTCATATTTAGCATATTTGCCATTTTAACAAACATTGTCAATTTTAGCAATCAGTATACTAAAATGTTAAGAATCTTGTCTAGAAAAAAAGTGAATTTCAGATTTGCATTATTTTATTGTTATTTTAATAAACATTGTCAATTTTAGCAATCAGTATACTAAAATGTTAAGAATCTTGTCTAGAAAAAAAGTGAATTTCAGATTTGCATTATTTTATTGTTTTGTCTACTTTTTCCTAAAAATTAGAACGAAAAGTTAGATTCAATACTTTTTGCAAAACAATTATTTATCATTCAACAAAAATTTAGAAGTTAATCAAAAAATTTAAAATAGCTAACTTTTGCCTCCCATAAATGCCCACAATCGTACCGAATTAGATTTTTAAAATTGAACCTAGTTTACTCGTAAACATTAAATAACACGCGCAAGGGATTATGAAATCGACTGTATACATATTCTTTATCTGTACTCACATACAGTCTACTCTCGTTAATAGGGAACAGCACCCGGATCCTTTACTTTTAAACACAAATATTTAAATAATTTGCATTATATTTGCTCAATAATAACTAATTTATAATTGCTAATAGCGTACAAATAAACAATGTAAATATTTTGCCCGTATATAAAATTTACCCCACTCACATGTGCTCTCACCCGGTGCTCACTATTGCAAACTATTGGTCCCGATAAATCTACGCGAATTACCTAGGGCACTTCAAATGCATGAGCCAAAAAATATTTGCCATTACATACATGTATAGCAATATTCGCTGTATATATAAATCGTAAACAATTGTTGAAAAATGATATTTGCGTTCACTTTATATAAGTGTAGAGAAATGTTTTTTTTAATTTACATTTTCAAAGCCCCGGTGCTCTCAGGTGTGTGTGCAGTGAGTGTGCGGCACAGGTGGGGAAAAAGGGCTCGAGAGAGAGAGAGAGAGAGAGAGAGAGCACAGGGAAAGAAGGTCTGGACTGATAATTGACTTAAAGACTCTCCGGAGCTCATCCCTCACTGCAAGGGCCCAACCATTGCCTACCAGTCCTTCATATGTTCGGTCCATTTGTTGAGTTGTAGTCCGGAATCGATTGATTGCAAAATTCCTTCCGTTCCGTTGTTTTCCTTAATCCATACCTAAAGAGGACCTAAAAACCAGACATTTTTAAGTAATATTTATCATAATTTGTAAACTATTTGTAAGTAAATGAATGAGAGTTAGAGGGAAACGGTATGCGTTAGTATGTACTGTACTATACGTGTTGTTTTAACCATGTTTTTTAGTTAAGGGTATTTTCTAGGACCCATCCCTCGTCTCTCTCTCTCTCTCTCTCATTATATGCATCTAAAGAAATATAT